AAAACTTGAGCCAGTTTTATGTCTCCAACTTGATTTTTTAAGATAGACATTAGCTTAACTGGGTTCACTGTGTTCACTCCATTTCCCTCACCGAACCTCAATATGATTTTGAACCCTCCTCCTTCTTCATCAGCACTTTCACTCGACACAACCCTTCTTTGTTTCCTAGTACTATCGTCAGCAGAGTTGTAACTCCTCGTTCCCTTCATCGACTCCCGCCGAAAACTCAACTCTAAATTACTGTCTTCGCTCTCACAGTCCCCCATGTCTCCCCACTCCTTCTCATTCACCAAACAGCCGCGCCTACCCGCCATTGATTTCTGTTCGACCAAGGTCCACCTGGCCGGTGGGAACGTTTCACTGCCACCTCCCGGCACGTTCCAAATCTGCCCAGCCCAGATTGTTGTTACTTTGTTGCCACTTCCTCAGATCGACAGTCCACTCCGAACTACAGCCTCGAGTCTGTGTCTGACTGCTGCTTAAATCCTCTGGCAAGGCTGTTGACAACTTTGCAGCAGCTGGGAGCTCTTAGCCACACCCACCTGCAGGACAGAAAAACTAAACTCCAACCAAAAACACAGGGATGTCAACCGCAAACAGAGATGCTCTTTTTGGGAAGACCAGAAGGCAGGGTGTTACAGTAGTCTATTCTACTGGTGATAAAAGCATGCATCAGTATCTCCGTATTGGCCCAAGAGAGAATGGGGCGGACTCTGGCAATGTTCTTTAGATGATAAAAACCTATTTTTGTAATATTTCTAAATGTGAGGAGTAAAAGACAGCTCAAAGTCAAAAATGACACCAGGGATTTCACTTTTTGAGAAGAATTCAAAGGCAGAGATTGTAGTTTTGGTAAAAGTTTCTCTCTCTGAGCCTCAGGACCGACAACTAAAACTTCAGTTTTGTCCTGGTTGAGCTGGAGAAAGTTTTCTGCCATCCAGGATTTGATGTCTAAGATGCAATTAAAAAGTTCATCCATTGGCTGTGTATTATCAGCATAACTGTGAAAGTTGACTCCACGTCTGTTGGTGACACCACCAAGAGGGAGCATATAGAGGTTAAAAAGCACTGGGCCCTGGGGCACACCATATGTGATGCCATGGACCCTAGAGGAACAGGTATCTAGACTTACCATAAAATTCCTGTCTGTGGGGTAGGATGGAACCATCTGTGGACAGCACCAGAGAGGCTGATCTGTTTTAAAAGAGTTAAAAGAATAGTGTGGTCTACTGTATCGAAGGCAGCACTTAGATCCAGCAGAACCAACACTGTCACCTTCTGTTTATCATAATTCAATCTAGAATCATTTAAATTCTTCTAAAGGGCCGTCTCGGTTCTGTGGTTCACCCTAAAACCAGACTGAAATTTCTCTAGGACATTATGAGTGTTTATAAAATTATTTAGTTGAGTTAAAACCAACTTTTCTAAAAATTTTGTTAAAAAATGGTAAATTGGATACTGGTCGATAATTGTTAAAATCATTGAAATCTAAACTGCTCTTCTTCAACAGGGGCCTCACCTCCGCCCCTTTAAAGGCAGCAGGAAACACCCCAAACTGAAGGGAGCTATTTGTAAAAGTAAAAAATTCATTTCTAAAAGATCCATAGAATTTAAGTAGTTCGACTTTCGACAATATACATTTAAAGTCACTAATGGAGGTCTGATTACTTAAATAATAAATGAAACAAACACATTTATTTATTTCTATTTAAATATTGTGTAGAAAACTCTGTTTTCTCCCTACAAGTCCATTCTGGACTTAAGGAAAGAAAATCATACATTTCTACAGAATGATGCACAGATCTGCATCAATAATATATATACACTAGTGTGATTATCAATAAAGTAAAAATATGATGCCAGTCTGGGGATTATTGTTTTACTACATCTGGGCCAGCTGAGATTGTGTCCCATAGACATAAAATAAATTATGTTGGTATGAAACTCACTCCAGTAGCTCAGAATACACGTTAGAGAATAATTCCTTGTTTATGTTTTTGTAAAATTAAAATTAAAAATCTTTGTCGACTAAAACCTTTTTGAATTTTAGTCGACTAAAACTGACTTAAACTAAAACTAAGATGCCCGCCAAAAGCAACACTGCTCCAGAAAGTTTCCACGAGGAGTCTGGACCCTGCATGAGGACTGAGTCAGATAGGAAGTGAGACGTGGTTCAGCGTTAAGGAAATTGAATGAAATTTATTTCATTTAGCAATCAGTTGTACAGTCTACTTTTGGGGAATCGTCTACACATTTGACTAAGGGGGTACGTGTGGTACAAGACAACGGCTCAGGGGTCCACTAGTCAGAAAAGGTTGGGAACCAATGATTTAGGAAACAGGACTCAGTAGTCTGGCTGAAATCCTCCACATTCTGTCCTTCATCCCATCTCTCCGCTATTTACGAATGCAAGCAGCTTGTTTTCACACACAACAGGGTTTCCACATGTTTTCTAGTTCGACCAGCAGTGCTTTCCAGAATAGAAACGAGTTTTAACATCTAAGTAGACACAGTAATTAACTGAGTTTCAACACAAGGCGTCACTCTGACTATTATGTTCTTGTAACAAATAACATGCTGCTTCCTCATATACAGGTAAGGATTCTGGACTGGCGCCTGTGCTGACTAAAGAGCAGGAAGCTTTAACATCTTATTAGATGTCTGGTGTAGAATAAGTGTTCGGTTACATTTGTCTTGCTTGTATAATTCTAATTATGTTGTGAGAAGGAGCTCTAGGTTTATCATCCATGTGTCCTGATGGAACTAAGAACCCAACATGATACTTCAGAACGAAAGCAGTGGAGGACCTGTTTGGAGACAAGACAGGTTGAGATTATTAATGTAGTTTTAATGCTCAAATGAATCCAGAGCAAACCAACTGACTACCTCAAAGCCTTTAAACAGGCTGACAGAAGTCACCTGTGATCTAACGTGTCCCTGTGTTATTAGCTTAGGCCTGGTTCACACAGTGCATTTTTTAAATCGTTGGTTAGTTGACAAACCATGAGAGACCCTACGAGGTTATAAAAAAATCACAGATATACAAATGTTGGTTCTACATTGTGTAATCTGCATTCCGACTTTCCACGGTTAGACGTGCAATCTCACCAGATCAAACATGACTTTGAAGTAAGCAAACATGGAGCTAGAGTCTGCTGCGTGCTTCAGTCACGTCAATTTTTGAATGGCTACACGTCACATTAAAAAAATTGCTCGTGCACTTGACCCTGTAAATCACACCAAGCCAATCCAACATGTTTAAAAGCCCACATTTGTGATTGCACTGGTCCCAGTTGCTTCTGAGCAGACCAGAAAGGTAGCTACAAATAAACTATATGGTCACTTTTGGAGTCTCAAACAGAAAATAATTAGTTTCCTGCACTCAGGAACTATTTCGTGGTTTAACTCTCCCCAACCCAACCCCTTAAAGCTGAGTGTCAAGCAGGGATGCAGTGGGTCCAAATGTTTTGCATCTTTGGTATGACCTGACCGGGAATCAAACCCCCAACCTCCTAGTTCCAGGGTGGACACTCTACCACTAGGCCACTGAGCTGGCAATAACAAAGGTACATGTATATACACATAGGCAGTAAGCTAGTATTTGTAGCCTTCAACCTCTAAAAACCACTAATAAACATTGAAAATCTTGGATTCCAGAACTATGTAGCTCACTGAAAGGAGGACACACATACTATGTAAATCTGGTATTGCACAGGTATTGAACACATACTAAGTATTGCTTTGGTGTTATTGTGTACCAGGATAATGCCAGTACCAGTTAAACTGAGGAGTTCTACACTCAAAGCAGAGGATGAGTGACTACGTTTACATGCAGCCAATATCCGGGTTATGATCGGGTTAAGGTCGATATTCTGGTTTCTGAGTTGATCATAATAACCCGTTTACAAGTATAAATAGAAAGTTACCCCTAACTTGCATAACCCGATTTAAATGCGGATGTTGGGGTAGCGTCAGGACGTATGGACTACGTCCAGACGCAATATGCATCATTTCCAGTTCTTCTTGTTCCGGTATCCGTGAAAACAACAACATGTTTCCCAGTTCGGAAGAGATAGCGACCGCGTTTGTTTGTGCTTTAGTTTCCTCGTCACTCCAAAAGTGTGGTGCTGTGCTGCGACTCGCCATGTTGCTCCCAACTTGTTGTTTACTTCCGGTGTTCTGGCGCATACAAGACGTCTCGCTACTCAAAAGACCAAGATTCCTCGCGAACAGAGCATGCGCAGAACACACTCTTTGATGGGGATATCCCGATATGCGTTTACACGACCAAACATTCGGGTTAGAAAAGGGTTACCCCAGGTGTAGTAACCGGGTTTTTAAAAACCCGGTTATAAGCATATCCGGGTTTTTGGCGGTGTTTACATGGACCTGCAGAACCGGGTTATTGTGAATATTCGGGTTTTAAAAGGGTTACTGGCTGCATGTAAACGCACTCAATGACCTACGGCAGCGTTCTGTTTTATCTGGGATGTCTCAGTCCGCCTCTGAAGCAGCTGTCCATGGTCTCCACGGTGGAATGCAGTGGGTGGGAGGGGATTTGTAAGATGGAGGTCATCTTCCCCAGCATCCTCCTTTACCCCTACTGAATCCAGTGGGGAGCTCAGAACCGAGCTAGCTTCTTCAGTCTCTTCCTGTCTCGGTCAGAGCTGCCTGCACCCCAACAGACCATCAGTGGATAACAGATCCAACCACAGAGTGATAAAAGGATTTTAGCAGCAGAATGAACTGAAGGACCTCAGCCTCCTCAGGAGTTGGAGGCGGCTTTGGTCCTTCTTACACAGCATCTGTGTTGTTGGACCAGTTCAGTTTGCTGCTTAGTAAAATATACTGATGAGTTTACTGACTAGCTTGTCTGTATTATTCTGTGTGATCTTCATATTTTCTTTATATTTATCCTATTAAAGACCACACAGCTCAGCAGGCTCACACACATTCACCAGCAGCCCCAATAATTCCAGTAACCTTTCTTATCTCCTCAGAGCTGCTCTCTATGCCGGCAGTAAAGAGATTTTCTGTGTCGTTTGCCAGGCATCCGACCAATGGTATGTCAGTCTCTATTCACGTATATTTCAACAATACTCTAGTTTGTCTTGCATGACCCTTTGGTGGGAAAATATTTTTGGTTTGAGGGATTTTGTCTTTGATTGCAGTAATGATGACATGAAATTGGCTCTGAGAGATTGTTTTTAACAACACGGCCTTGGTGTTTGCTCTACTTATTGTTTTCGGCCTTCACAATTAACACAGCTCCTTTGCCTGCACTCCCTGATCCTGCTGTTGGTCACAAGGTTTCCTTTTTGTGGATTTAATCTCCTTTCTTGGATATTTTTCAATATGCAGATAATCAGCGTTCAAACTCACCCCCACCTTTGTTTATTTTGAGCTTTTTTTTCATCAGCAGCTTTAGTTGTGACCAATAAATGTATTTTTCATTGTTCAACACCCTCACTGGTGAATGTCTTTATTTACCTAAGACACAAAGGGAAATGCGCATCAAAACTTTTTACTCTGAATTTGAGAAAAATCCTGAAAAGACAGACTCAGATGAGTTATGCAGAAGGAATGTGTGTGTGTGTGTGTGTGTGTGTGTGTGCGTGTGCGTGTGCGTGTGTGTGTGTGTGTATGATTAATAATTTGATCTCTGTTCTCATACTTTCTTTTCAACATTCCTGATATTAAGTAATGACTAAAAGACCTTGAGAGATCAATGGCTTTAATCCTTTGGCTTTGCTGCTATTGGCCCTTGCCAATTCAATAGAGGGCAAACCCCTTGTTCACATCAGATGCGGAAGCACGACGATGCACCGCGAAGCGCCATGGAAAGAAAAGAGCTTCTAATCGGCCACCTTCTTTACCTAAGGTCTCGGTCACATCAGCTGCAAAGGGTCCATGAAGTCTCGCACCGTGCAGCGATCGTTTTGGCATGTACTCTTAATTTTTTCGCGACCCGTGAGTGAGCCGCATCAATTCTGGCAGGAAGTCAAACCAAAACAGCAGAGGCAGACCAGTAAATTTAACAAAATAAAACAAAATTTTCTAATTAAAATGCCACGAATGATAAATGTGATCATTTTTGTGTATCTAAGTAGACTAGAGACAAACACACACACACACACACACACTCCTGCGAAGAAATAGTTTTCCATAATTTTAAATGCAGTTTTTACAGCAAAGGATGACTTTAATGAATGTGAATACAAACAAATATGTTTAATTCAAAGGTAAATATGCAATAGTGTTACAGATAGTGTACACTACCACAAACTCTAGTTTTTTACTTAACCATTTAGAAAGGAACTGGTGTACTAAACAGCAGCAGGATCAGCGCAGTTTCTGATATCAACAAGCACACACACAGCAAGAACACGGGGTGGAGTAAAGGGGTTTTAGAAAACAGGTGTGAGCGGAAGTGCTCGTCAAAAATTCTCGCCTGATGTGAACAGAGGAATAGCGGGCAGAGCGCAAACTTCATGAGCGATCCGCTTCGCGGCGCTTTCAAGTTGATGTGATCCTGGCGTCAGACTATTGCAACTCTTTTCACGTGTCACGTGCTTGTCTTCTGACCAACTCCTCCAAACATACCCACATCACCCCGCTTCTCCTCCAGCTTCATTGGCTGCCAGTCAACTTCAGGGTTCATTTCAAGATCCTGGTTCTGGTCTATAGGGCCTTACATGGACAAGCACCATCATACATTGGTGATCTTCTCAGTCCCTACACCCCCAGCAGGTCCCTGAGGTCCAGTGACCAAAACTTACTGGTTGTGCAGCGCACCAGGCTAAAGGTCAAAGGTGACAGATCCTGCGTGGCTGCCAGACTTACAAAGGTTTCCAGCTCCCTCTGAGCCTGAGATCAGTGGACTCCTTGAAAAGCAGCTGAAGCCTCACCGGTTCTGGCTTTGGTGGGACCTTCGTCACCAACCTCTCCTTATTCTGCTTTTTCTACCTATTCCACCTTTCCCAGTATCCACCGATTTCCCTCTTTCCTATTCATTTTCTCTGTCCCTTTCCTTACATTTGTTAATCACAGTTTAAACTTTTTGTAACATGTATTTAAATCACTTTAAAACAATCTTTTTGTGAAGCGCCTTGTGATTTTGTGATTTATTTTGAGAGGTGCTATTTAAAACATACAGGTGCTGGCCAGTAAATTAGAATATCATCAAAAGGTTGAAAATATTTCAGTAATTCCATTCAAAACGTGAAACTTGTACATTATATTCATGCAATGCACACAGACCAATGTATTTCCGATGTTTATTACGTTTAATTTTGATATTTATAGGTGACAACCAATGAAAACATCAAATCTGGTATCTCAGAAAATTAGAATATTCTAAAGGCCAATGAAAAAATGTTTGTTTCTCTAATGTTGGCCAACTGAAAAGAATGAACATGAAAAGAATGTGCATGTATAGCACTCAATACTTAGTCGGGGCTCCTTTTGCCTCAATAACTGCAGTAATGCGGCGTGGCATGGACTCGATCAGTCTGTGGCACTGCTCAGGTGTTATGAGAGCCCAGGTTGCTCTGATAGTCGTCTTCAGCTCCTCTGCATTGTTGGGTCTAGCGTATTGCATCCTCCGCTTCACAATACCCCATAGATTTTCTATGGGGTTAAGGTCAGGCGAGTTTGCTGGCCAATCAAGGACAGGGATACCATGGTCCTTGAACCAGGTGCTGGTGGTTTTGGCACTGTGTGCAGGTGCCAAGTCCTGTTGAAAGGTGAAGTCTGCATCCCCATAAAGTTGGTCAGCAGCAGGAAGCATGAAGTGCTCTAAAACTTCCTGGTAGACGGCTGCATTGACCCTGGACCTCAGGAAACAGAGTGGGCCAACACCGGCAGATGACATGGCACCCCACACCATCACTGACGGTGGAAACTTTACACTGGACCTCATGCAACGTGGATTCTGTGCTTCTCCGCTCTTCCTCCAGACTCTGGGTCCTTGATTTCCAAAGGAAATGCAGAACTTGCTTTCATCAGAAAACATAACTTTGGACCACTCAGCATCAGTCCAGTCCTTTTTGTCCTTGGCCCAGGCGAGACGCTTCTTGCGCTGTTTCTTGTTCAGGAGTGGCTTGACACACGGAATGCGACACCTGAATCCCATGTCTTTCATGAGTCTCCTCGTGGTGGTTCTTGAAGCGCTGACTCCAGCTGCAGTCCACTCTTTGTGGATCTCCCCCACATTTTTGAATGGGTTTGTCGTCACAATTCTCTGCAGGGTGCGGTTATCCCTAGAGCTTGTACACTTTTTTCTACCACATTTTTTCCGTCCCTTCGCCTGTCTGTTAATGTGCTTGGACACAGAGCTCTGCGAACAGCCAGCTTCTTTAGCAATCACCTTTTGTGTCTTGCCCTCCTTGTGCAAGGTGTCAATGATTGTCTTTTGGACAGTTGTTAAGTCAGAAGTCTTCCCCATGATTGTGGTGCCTTCAAAACAAGACTGAGGGACCTTTTAAAGGCCTTTGCAGGTGTTTTGAGTAAATCAGCTGATTAGAGTGGCAGCAGGTGTCTTCTATATTCAGCCTTTTCAGAATATTCTAATTTTTTGAGATACCAAATTTGGAGTTTTCATTAGTTGTCACTTATGAATATCAAATTTAAATGTAATGAACATTGGAAATACATTGGTCTGTGTGCATTGCATGAATATAATGTACAAGTTTCACGTTTTGAATGGAATTACTGAAATATTTTCAACCTTTTGATGATATTCTAATTTACTGGCCAGCACCTGTAATTTTCTTTCTTTCTTTAGTAATTCTGAAAAAAGTTACTTTATAATTTTGTTTAATATAAAAATCAATTAACAATCGAATCACTTTTTAAACATTCTTTGATTTTTGAAGCTGTGAATCACACTATTAATTAAATTGTGGCAAAATGTACAAGCATTCATTTGCAACTTCAAATGAGTTTTGAATATCAAAGGGCTTGTAAAATTTATGCTGAGTGATTTGTACAAGATGTCGATCCTCACTTTGAACAAGCATGAAAGCATGAAAATGATCATCAAATGTTTCTGTGAAAAGCGGTTTTGTTAACAAAAAACATTATTGTCAACTAAAAGTACATCACCTATCTGACAAAACACAGGCATTTCTTCTTGCATTGCACTACAAACGACAAGTCTTTCTCTGTATTTAATACCATCAACTTGAACCCAGATAGTTGAACAAACATTGTCTGACATTATTTGAAGCATTTCATTATTTGCCAAATCATCATCTGCAAGGGTAAATAACTTGAGAGGCCCGTTCTCATTTTGCTTTATGGTTATTGTTTCCCAATGATATGCTATTTGATGCTATCTGATGCAAGTGATTTAGTAATGTCTTTAAAAAATGTTTTCAGATTAGCATCAAACCTCATAGACCATATATGTAGCAATGGACCAATTTTCCTAATGACAGATGAAAAGTGAATCATAAAATGATGTTTAGGTATCAAGTTCCTCGGTGGATACAGTGACTTAAAGAGTAGTGCTTGACAATCAAATACTTCAAATATGTCGTCATACCCAAAGTCAGGATTGGAGAAAATACAATGTTCATTATTTCAAGAAATAACAGTAACATGTACCAATTTTGGTCTTCAGCAGGAATAACGTCTCCAAACAAAAGTGGAATATTTTTAACGAGGCACAATTTCTGAACTGAATTCAAACCTATACCATTACCAGCACTCTCAGATGTTTTTTTTTTTTATTCAGCCCTCCCTGGGCTTCCACCTTTCCCTGGTGGAGTGGCCCAATGATCCTAGGAGCTAAGTTGTCTGGGGCTTTATGCTTCTGGTAGGATCACCCAAATCAAACAGATCTTAAGTGAGGGATCAGACCCCCTATGATTAACAATATAAATGGAAACAGTGTTCCCTTGCCCGGATTCAGGTCACCGAGGCCCCCCTCTGGAGCCAGGCCTGGAGTTGCGGCACATTAACAAGCGCCTGGTGGATGGCTGTTACTCATGGAGCCCGGCTGGGCATAGCCCAAAAAGGAGACATGGGTCCCCCTTTCCATGAGCTCACCACTCATGGA